TGTTGCTATTATATTTTTAGCTTTACTAATATGTTGCTGCTATTGTGACTATGTTGGACTTTGTTGCCTTATTTGGGGAGCATGGAAATTGTCCATGCCACATTGACTGACTATGTCTTATTTAGTTTCAAGTTGTTATAATGTATCAGGATATTGTCCGGACTACGTGTTGTAGATCCGTGACTTAGATACTCACCTTTTGATTTTATGAGGTATTTCAGTTAGCTGTCTTTTGCAATTTACATACAGGCTATATTTTATGAAAATGATTAAGTAATCAATTTGGTTAACTATAATGACGTCATAATTGAACAGAAAATGATATTCCGCAATTTTAAATTAAGCGTGGCTTAATACGATGGGTGTTACAAAATATGTTATTGTTATCAAATATAAAGATAATTAGAAGAAAGATAGGGGAAATATGTTCTTATCGACTATCCATATATCCATGGTGCTTTGTACATACCTTATTTATAGGCTCAAAATACATGAAAGTTACAATAATATCATTAGCTACAATAACTTCTCCAACGGTCATATAACGTCTTCAACGGTCATATAATGGATATGGACAGCCAATAATTAAATTACTTATAACAATTACCAAATTGTTTAAAATAAAATCTGTCATACAAGTTTTATGAAGTTTGGCATTTAATAAAAACTGTAAGAACTCGCACCATTAATTAAGGAAGTTAATTAATTAATTATTAGAGATTAGGAAATAATTCCATAATTGACCTTAATAATTATTATGAGGCTAAAATAATATTGGTAAGTGAGTTATAATGCTGAAAGTCGCTTTTCTGATGAAAAGTGCAGATACTGGTTCCGCTACTCGGTATAAATGCGTAACGATGAAGTATCCTGGAAAATTATAATAAGTGCTTGAATATTCCTAGAATATTATATAGGACCTGTAAAACGAGTTTCAAGTTAAAATAATGAGAACTGGTGCCAGAACTGATACTAAAGTGCGTACCGAAAAGGTGCTGCGAAAAATAAAATAAAAATATGACAAATCTTAGAAAAATGAGTAGATTCAGAATCCTAAGTTTGGGATTAAAATGCTAAGCACAGCTATTAGTGCTAATACTGTGTGTTTTAACTTAAACCGCCTATATATGCTCATTTGTGCACAAAACCTAGGCTTATTTCAGTTGCTGCGTGAACCTTAGAGGCTGATCAACTCCTCTTACTGTTCCATTGCCTTCCCTTCTCCATTTCTTGAGCCAAGGAGCCATTTCCTTCATGAAATCTTCTCCTAAACACTTGGGGTGAGTGAGAGTTACCATTGGGAATGTGTTGCTGACCTTGTTGCTGAGTTTGGGTGTCTGTTTTGTGGGGTTTAGAGGGTTGTGTTCTTGAGCTTTGTTGAGGGAGCTCTTATTCTAGTATTGTGAGCTCCAAGGAGTGATCTTTGGTGTGAAAGAACCTCTCTTGATCATCATTTTCGTGGGTTCTGTCTAGCTTGACGTTGGGAGTAGCAAGTGAGCTCCAATAGCACTTGTGGTTCTGTTTAGAAGCCTTTGGGTAAGCACCATCACTTTCATCATGAGTTTTAATGAGTAAAAGTGGAGTCTTGGTATGTTTATTAAGTTAAACAAGTAACCAACCAGTATATGAACCTAAATGGGCTTAAAGATGCATGTTTTACCGTTTAAAAGTGTTAAAAATGGAACCTTTGGATTGATATGTCGCGAAATGCAAAATCTGAGTTCTGCCGCGAAATATCCAGATATTGGGTTAGAAATATCCAGATATTGATATCCGGATATGGGGTTCTGAATATCTGGATATTGATATCCGAATATTTCCAGACAGATATCCGAATATTGATATCCGGATATGCCCCTGGGTTTTCGAAGAACAGTAGCTGTACTATTCATACAGAAGGCTGTTTGGGGTTTGTGGATCCTAGATTGTTGAAGTGGGACTTCTGTAATAATTGAATTAAGTCAGAATCAAGTGATTAAGAGCTTGTGGCTTTGTGAGAAGCCTTAAGACATGAAACGTAAAAGAGAAGCGTTGTCTTTATGTTTATGCTTTTGAGCTATGGTTGTTGATATGATTGCTGGTCCGAAACAGATTGTGATTATGCTGTGTTTTGACTTTGAGCTTGTGTGGACTCTTGGCTTGGATAGCTAGCTTGCAAGGTAAGCTTTCGTGTCTTCGGATTAGCCATTGTTTGTTCCACCATGTCCTATGGGGGATGGTTATAAGCATGATGTGTTTTCATGTACTGTTTTATTGAAATGCTATTGAGTTGTTAAGTGCAATTGCTTTATGATATGTATGTGGTGTTTCGCCTAGCCAGGAAGCCATGGGCGTATACTGTAAGGGTAATAGACGTATTCCTGCACTTCTCTGATAAGTAGAATAGTTATAACACACATGACATGATTATCTGCTGCATTGCACTGTTTTGGAACTTATACTGTTTAACTGCTTTTGGAACTTATATTGCACATGTAAGTGAGCTTGGGGTGGAAGATCCTTGAGGACCCCTTGTCTTACTGAGATTTCTGTTTAGAGATCTCACCCCACGTTTGGGGCGCTTATTTCAGGTTCACGTAATGCAGGGGTTGAGACCTCTAGGGGCAGGAGGCCGGAACTTAGTTGATTGATATTTATCTGTTATGCCGATTGTGCTGAGATGCTGGATATACCTGTTGCTATTATGTTTTTAGCTTTACTATTATGTTGCTGCTATTGTGACTATGTTGGACTTTGTTGCCTTAGTTGGAGAGCATGTGGATTGTCCATGCCACATTGATTGACTATGTCTTATTTAGTTTCAAGTTGTAATAATGTATCAGGATATTGTCCGGACTACGTGTTGTAGATCCGTGACTTAGATACTCACCTATTGATTTTATGAGGTATTTCAGTTAGTTGTCTTTTGCAATTTACATACAGGCGATATTTTATGAAAATGATTAAGTAATCAACTTGGTTAACTATAATGACATCATAATTGAACAGAAAAAGATATTCCGCAATTTTAAATTAAGCGTGGCTTAATACGATGAGTGTTACAAAATATGTTCTTATTATCAAATATAAAGATAATTAGAAGAAAGATAGGGGAAATATGTTCTTATCGACTATTCATATATCCATGGTGCTTTGTACATACCTTATTTATAGGCTCAAAATACATGAAAGTTACAATAATATCATTAGTTACAATAACTTCTCCAACGATCATAACGTCTTCAACGGTCATATAACGGATATGGACAGCTAATAATTAAATTACTTATAACAATTACCAAATTGTTTAAAATAAAAACTGTCATTCATACAAGTTTTATGAGGTTTGGCATTTATCGTGGAATTTATTTATTTATTTATTTTATAAATTTGAACTTGAAAAATATCTACTCCTGAAAAAGTATTTGATCCGGAAAAAAAATGTACCACCCATATTTATTTATTCATTTATTTATTTTTATATTGAACTGAATAGCATATATATAATGAATATTGAAAGTTCAAGACGTGATAGTTGAAGAAGATATTGGCCCTGGCCAACACTCTGATTAGGCACAAGAAAATAAAATAATATGTGAAATAGAAATACAGATATTTTTTGAATTTTTTTTCCATACCCACATGGACAAACTCTTCTACACAATTAATTTACATAAACTGTATGAACTTAATAGAAAAATGAGTTTTATTAATATCATGTTAAAGGAGATAAATTATAAAAAAATAAACTTGTGGGCTCCACCACCGGAAAAAAAAGAAAAAAGAAAAAAAAAATGGTACAGTTATCCAAGGGTGTGTAGGAGAAAAATTTATCACATGTAACAAAAGATTTTTTTTTTCCTAAAAAGTATAGAAAAATTGATATATCGTTATCTTTATTGGATAAATAAAATTATAAATTTTTAATGGTAAACTATTATTTTTCATTTAAAATGATAATAAATCAATTTTACTAATTTAATTTAGGGTTCACTTTTTCTGCACAGATAAGTTATCTGCAGTAAGTCTAATACAACATCATTTGGAGCGAAAATCATGGTATTTTGTAATTTTAATTTATTTCACGGTTATTATAATTTTTATAATTTATTTTTTTAATCTTTCAATCTCAAAACGACATCGTTTTGGGAATAAATGCAGATAACTTATCTGCATTAACTGCAGAATTATTTTTCTTGTTTAATTTATACAAGTTTATCATATGGATTAAGTCTATTAAATAAGTTATCTTTTAACTCTCATGTTGGATGAATGTTAAGGGTGATTAATTACATTATTTCCAGAATCTCGGTGCTAGTTGGAGTGTCCCATGTGCACATCTAGGAATTACGATTCCCTCTTCCTCACGGACTAATAGCCCACTGGTCACTACACGTTAAAAATGTCCTATTTTTTTTCTTGATTCTCCCTGTACAATTTTTTTTTTGAAATGTTGGTCTTGTGATCTTACCCAACTTCTCAAAATTAGAAAGAGTGAATCCTTTCATTTTAAATAAAATATAACACGATCAACTGAGAAAATTATAATATAAATGGGTCGATGAAAATAGAAGAAGAAAGAAAAAATATATTAAAATAGATAATTATAAAATTATCATCATTATTTATCTTTAAATCATTGTAATTTTCTTATATAATCAAAATAATATTCTATTTAAGACGAGAGGATGCATTATAAGAGATAAACTTTGTCGGTGAATCCAAACAAAGAACTCACTCTGCCCCACTGTGAGCCCCACCTATATCCTAAAGGGATTTTTGTGTCCTTCAAGTCAATGATTCATCACAGACAATAATTAATTTAATTCCAATTGTTATGAGTGGGATCTAGATTGATTGGGATAACTTACGTCCGTGAGCGACTCACGAGAAAGAGAGTGTGGGGTAGAAAGTGGGTTCATGATATATAAGGGCATCATCATTCATTGGATTTTCAGGGAAACATTTAGTTCCCTTTTGCTTGTTTTCAAAGGGGCTAGTAGTTACAGTATCTTTGATACATGGGGAAGTTTCCTCTAGCCAATGTGTTGATCCTTCTCTTGAACTTGGGTACTTTGCTCAATGTTCTTGCTTGTCCTTATTGTCCATACCCATCTCCTTCTAAGCCTCCAAAACACCATCCAATAGTGAAGCCACCAATTCACAAATCACCAAAGCAGCATCCTATAGTGAAACCACCGGTTCACAAACCACCAAAGTACCCTCCATATCATGGTGAGCCACCCTGTCCACCACCCAAATCATCACCAAAACCACCTTATGTTCCCAAGCCTCCAGTGGTTAAACCCCCTTTGCATCCACCTTATGTTCCAAAACCTCCAATTGTTAAACCACCAATAGTGCATCCACCTTATGTTCCAAAACCTCCAATTGTTAAACCACCAATAGTGCATCCACCTTATGCTCCAAAACCTCCTCATTATCCCAAGCCCCCCATTGTTAAACCACCAATAGTGCATCCACCTTATGTTCCAAAACCTCCTCATTATCCCAAGCCCCCCATTGTTAAACCACCAATAGTGTATCCACCTTATGTGCCAAAACCACCTCCATATGTGCCTAAACCACCAGTTGTGAAACCTCCCTATGTGCCTAAACCACCAGTGGTAACACCACCTTATGTGCCTAAACCACCGGTGGTAACACCACCTTACGTGCCAAAACCACCTGTGGTAACACCACCTTACGTACCAAAGCCACCAGTGGTAACACCACCTTACGTGCCAAAACCACCAGTGGTAACACCACCTTATGTGCCTAAACCACCTGTGGTAACACCACCTTATGTTCCAAAGCCACCAGTGGTTACACCACCTTATGTCCCAAAACCTCCAATTGTCAAACCACCCATTGTTTTTCCTCCTTATGTCCCTGTACCATCACCACCCTATGTGACACCACCTACCCCACCAGTTGTTACACCGCCAGTGGTTACACCACCATCACCGCCAGTGGTTACACCACCAACACCGCCAGTGGTTACACCACCGACACCACCAGTGGTTACTCCACCAAGTCCTCCTACTGAAACACCATGTCCTCCACCACCACCAGCACAACCAACATGCCCCATTGACACTTTAAAGCTAGGTGCATGTGTTGATGTTCTTGGTGGCCTCATACACATTGGAATTGGTAGCAGTGCTACACAAACATGTTGCCCAGTGCTTCAAGGGCTTCTAGATTTGGATGCTGCTGTGTGCCTCTGTACCACCATTAGAGCCAAGCTTCTTAACATCAACATCATAATCCCCATTGCTCTTCAGCTCCTACTTGACTGTGGCAAGACTCCACCAGAAGGATTTAAGTGTTCATGAGCAAATTAATATATTTATTATAAAGGTAGTTCCTATATATTTTGGATGTTCAACTTTAAGTGTTCAGGGATAATAGTAACACTCTTCAAAATTATTGTTACGAAATTATGTGTTTTTGAAAGAATATATATATATATACATATATATATATATATATATATATATATATGAAAAATATTTCTACAGCCACTTTAGATAAAGTTATCTATATTTACCCTATACAACTATCTACTACCGGTAATACATAATTATAATATTAAAGTTTTTTTTCTCTCAACATCAGGAGACAAGTTCTGAAAAGTGACTGAGGAGAGAGAAAAAAAAAAGTAACTTTAATGTTATAACTATGTACTATTTTTAGTACATAGCTATAAAACTCTGTACTAAATTTAGTACATAACAATAAAGGATAGTTATAGATAAATTTAGATAATATATATATATATAGAGGTAGGATCTTTTGACACCGGTGTCAAATTTGAAGTTTGACACCTCATCTGAAGGTCGTTAGATCAAAAAAGATCAATGACATCACATGTTTACAAATCAGAGTCGTTGATCTTTTTTTATATAACGACCCGCAGATGTGGTGTCAAATTTCAAATTTGACACCGGTGTCAAAGGATCCTACCTCATATATATATATATATATATATATATATATATATATATATATATATATATATATTTCAGAAAAATTTAGGAGGGGTTATCGGGGGTCCTACCAAAGCCAAGGGCAGACAAGTATATTTCTTTTTAGGATATAAGAAAGAAAACATGTTTAATAAATGTAATCATATGCTTTTCATGAAAATAGATGTACTGTATACGATTATGATCAACATCTTATCTTTTTGCATGAAAATTAGAGTTTTATTTGTTGCACTAAATCAGAAAGATGACATGCATGCACATTTTAGCGCTATCTTAACTTTCATTAATTGAAAATTAATAAAATCAAACAACTCTCCCTTTTATTTTCAAAATTTTATATACATATTTTCTTCGACAATCTGTTTTCACATATTCTGATAAATTTTGAAATAGTTAAAGTTATGCATATAATTTCATTTATTAAGGAAAACCTATGTAACTTAGTTTGTTTTGTTACCGAATAAATAAGAAAATAAAAATATCATGTACTGTCTTCTCTACTTCTGTATCAAAGTCAGTATGTTATGGAATCCCATGTGACTTAGCTGTCTTTTTGTGCCTAATGTTTGCAGGAATTGCATCACTTTTGCAAGGAATAAGTTCTTAACAAGTTGAGAAGATGTAGTGAAGAAATTGTCTTAGTTTCTCGTTCATCAAGTTGTATTTGTATACCAAAGGCCAAGAACATAAAAGTACTACAAGGGAAATTGTTTTCACACTAGCTAGTTTTATGCTCTGCCTTGTTCGCAAGTCGTAAATTGCAAAGGCTTCCCATTTATTTTCTCTGCTTTTCTTTGTCTCTTAGTTTCATTGCGTGTGTGGCTCTGTGTGCATGTCAGGGTGTGTATGTCCACCCGTGATTGTGTTGGGAAATGTATAAGTAGTGTGACATTAGATTCTCTTCAAAACGGTTATCATGTTACACGTTTCTTCTTCAATGCATTGCCTTTAAACAATTTTTCACAGTGGGGAGTTTTTGGAAATTGGAATCATTCAGTTTCACACTAGTTATAAATTTAATGCATTTTTTTTTCCAAAAGAAAAAAGAAAATGCATTAAATTGGAAAGAAAAATAATATTAAAGTGCTTTTCTGTACCAAAAAGATAACGTAAAATTATTCATTGTTACTGATCGACTAAAACAAATGGCATTAATTGAATATTACCCTACCATATTAAAAAAAAAAAATTAACTTGTTTCATATGTCGTTAAATTGGATAAAAAAATAATTTGTTAATATGCACGGTAAAATAGATAATTTATTGATTTCAGTAGTATTTTTGAATGTTATAAAAATAGGACCGATCCGGTCGGGTCGACCCGAAAATCGGTGAACCGGTCACGTAATCGGTTTGATTTTCATATTAGACCGGCCATGTTACAGAACTGGTGTGACCCGGCCGATTTTTGAAAAAATTGGTGACCCAATCAGTTCAACCGGTGACCCGGCCTGGTCTATAAAAAAAAGATTATTTTCGTAAATTAATGTCTTTTTTTTTTAATCTCAAACACAAATGATTTATTTTCTTTTAAAATATTTGAGTGATTTGTAGCTTATTAACTTACATAGATTATATACCTACAACAAAAATATTATCTTGATTATGCAATATGGAGAGAATTTTGATTTGATTTATAATTAGAGATATCATTTACTGAACCTGAAACACTAGTATCACAAATATTATATGTTTGATTGATCTTTTGTTGGACAATGATATGCAATTTATTATTTTCATATTAAAATATTTGAAATTAGTATATTTTTTTACAAGTATTTAAGCATATTTATCATTTTTTAATATAAATTATAGATTTACATATACTTACCGGGTCATGCGGTTGAACCAGTGACCCAGTACCTCGACCGGGTCAATAATCAGGCCGGGTTTAATAACATTGATATTTTCTCTTCTGGTAAATATTTCAGTAGTAATTTTAATTAAAACAAAATATATATATATATATCATTTGCAATTCAAATTATATTTTGATTCTATATTCTACCACATATATTTTCGTTAAGAAGTAATTATAAGAGTCATCGCCGTGTTTTATTTGAACTCACTACCTCTTAATGGAAAATCAATAAAATACATCGATAACATATAGCTATATTAGAATAAAATTAAACATAAAAATAAAGACATAAATTCGTAATATGATAAGAGTTTTACCATACTTATCCTTTTAAAATATCTTCCTAAAATTTATCTTACTAATTAATACAATATTAAATAAAAATATATACATTTAATATATTATAAGTAACGCAAAAAATATGTAATAAATTTTTATTTGATAGTTAATAGGATTATTAGAATGATATATAATTATTTAACGTTTTTACTAACCAGTTAAGTCATTTATTAATAAATTAAAAATAATAAGTATTTAATAATTTTTTTTTTGATATTTTAAAAGCTTTAAAATATTTGTCATTTTTTTAAGAAAAGATTAGGAACATTTACTAATGCAATTTTAAAAACCATTTATTTTAAAGTTAAACTTTAAAATAAATACTATTGCGGATTAACTTCTCAATAACGCAAGGAATAAAGTTTAACTCGATCCGTATTAAAGCTGCCTCTCCGTGCTTTCTGTAGTTTAAGGTGGGAAGAATGTTAAAAACAAACGGGCTTCAAATTCTTGGAGTACTTGAATGCATATGCTTCCGTACGAGATTTTTATTTTATTTTTTTGAGATTTCTTCACCAATTCTTTTATTATTAGATTAATCCAGTTGAGTCGGTAGGATCAAAAGGGTAACAAATGTGCCCCTAACATTTTTTTAACACATGCATATTCAGAACTCATATTCGAAATCACTAGTTAATACCCTGCACCTATAGTCCGTCCATGCACCTATATATATATATATAATCCTACCGTTTACAGTTTATTGAGATTCCTTTTCTTTCTTTTTTGTGTATTGTTATCTTTTTTTCTTCTTTTTTTCAAATATACCTTAATTATCTTTTTAAGACGAGTAAGCTTCCCTGATATCCCTTGCTAAATTTCCATGCATCAATTGAGCCAATTGTGTATTGTTATCATTAATTTTAATTTTGGATTCTATTTACAATCTAACTGCCAACGATTCTGAAATAATTTTAAAAAAAATTATGATTCTTCCTAAAAAATAATTAAACCACTTTGAAGGTATAGTTATAAAATTAACTTTTGTTGCTAAGGTACGTTACCGATTAGATAAATTAACCTTTCATATTATGGATAAAGTTTTCGCTATATCATCTTCAATTTTTATTCTCACCCATATCGCTATTTCGTAAAAGCACTTTGGAGCTTTGAATTCTTATAAATAACATAACCCTAATACGAATAGAAAAACAAGCGGGTTGTTCAAATCAAAGTAGCTGCCATATATACTTTCTGTGTTTCTTGGTTACATAAAAGGCATTTTTTCCAATATTGGGTAGCCAGCTGTTGTTTTGGCTGCATGATTACTAAAGCAATGGTAGGTGTATTTGTTTGTTGAGTATATAGTACACGTTTTTCTCTAGTTTTCTCTATTTTCCGCTAAGTTTACATGCATCTCCTTTTAATTTTCTAAAGAAAATTACAAAAATTTATCGTGTCCTATACCAGCATGAAGAATGCAAAGATTACAAAATTAATTATGTTCGACTGAAATTGTTAAGGACAAGTGCTCTCTTATTGTAAAACATTGATTGATGCACATAAATCTCCCCTCACATAACCATTGGCGGAGCCGGGATTGGAGGGAAGCCGGGACGCAAATTAATTTTTTGTTTTGTATAATATTAGTATTTTCTTTACATATTGATCTCATATCTTCATGAAACTCATTTAGATAATTTTTTACCAAAATATTGACATTTAACAATATTTCGAAGACTAAAAAAATGTACTGTTGACCAGGTCCAACAAAAATAAAAAGTAGTTTAAAGCAATAATTAAAATAAAAAAAAAGAGTGCATTAACTAAAACAATATTTTTAACTACACGTTTTTGTTTTTACAAAAAAAATAAAATAAAAAACTGCAATCAAGTTGTCCCAAAAAATGAATCTTTTAAGTTAGAGCAAATCCATTTTCTCTATATGAAACCACTACACACAAAAAAACACAACAATGCCAATGAAAAGAAAAGTGAGCAAAAGAGTGGCAAAAAGACCAAAGTTTTCATTAAACGAAACATAGCATATGAAAATAAAAAAGAAAATGCAGAAAAGGTTACACATTACACACATACATTAGGTGAAGTGGAGATAGATTTCAACTTGGATCTCAAACCAGAACTTTCAAAAAAAGCACGTTTAATAATAACATCAATATCATGTTTAGCCTTTAACTGCATTAATTTTTTTTCAACT